TCCACTGTGCTGGGGGAGGCGGGGAAGGCGGCCGGAGGGGAGCCTGCTTTCGCTTTGGAGTCCCGGGGCGGCGGGGGGAGTGCGTCCCGCCGAGGGAGGTGAAGGGGCCGTGTGCCGGCTAAGGCGGGAACCTCCGCGGTGTTTGTTGTTCTGTCTGGAGTAGCAGCGGGTAGGCTGCTGCGCGGCGGAGCCGGTGCTGCAGTTCGGGCGCCGAGTTGGTGGCTGTACAACTCCTGGCGTGGTGTCCTTCAGCTTAGGGCTGGCCTTCCCGAGTTTCCTGGGGAGCAGGGGTCCCCTTAAAAAGGTACGAACGTTTAAAGTTCACGCAAGTCCTACATGTAGCTGGGGGTGTTGGCTGCTGGAACAGAATGTCAAAAATAGAGGGCTGTCCGCCCCGTCTCAGACACCAGCGGGAGGCGGAAGAATGACAGCCCCGGCTTTGGATCCTGTGCGGAGTAATCGAGTACAATCACGTATCCAATGCACCGATCTATTTTCACCTAAAGGCTCGTAGGTATGGAGTTAGACATTTTAATGTGAGACTTTAGATTAGACAGAGGGAGTGAGGAGCTGAAACCAGGACTTGTTTCTGGTAAAAATCCCGTCAAAATTCTAAACTTTTAAAAAAAAATAATGCTTTCCAGTTTTTTTGTTTTTTTGTTTTAAATATATTTTATTGATTTTTTACAGAGAGGAAGGGAGAGAGATAGAGAGTCAGAAACATCCATCAGCCACCTCCTGCGCATCCCCTACTGGGGATGTGCCCGCAACCCAGGTACATGCCCTTGCTCGGAATCGAACCTGGGACCCTTCAGTCCGCAGGCCAACGCTCTATCCACTGAGCCAAACCGGTTTTGGCTGCTTTCCAGTTTTTAAGTCTCATGTATGGCAGCGATTTATTTTTATTTGCATTTTTTTGGTTATTGTTTTGGTGCCCCTAGTGACTATATATTTTTTTGAACCAAAAATCAGAACATGTGTGGGGACAAGATTGAGATCATTTGACAGTGATGCTGCCCCAGAAAATCTAGGGAATTCGAATTTGAATGCCCCGACCACATTAATATGGGTCATGTATTCCAGATCTCTTGGATGTTCTAATGCTAACCCCCTCTTCCCCAAATGTAACATTTATGTCCAGTTACCATTGATTTATTTCAGCCACTTAAGAGAAAGTTGCCTATGTTTTGTTTAATGTCAATCATTTTAAGTGGCAAAAGGTGCACGTTTTTGTATGATTTGCTTTTCCCACTAGCTCTTGGATTACCTTTTAAGAATTGCTGTTCTGCCGAAACCGGTTTGGCTCAGTGGATAGAGTGTAGGCCTGCGGACCATATATAAATAATATATATAATATATATATAAAGAATTGCTGTTCTGTATATGATTCTGTAGGATTCTTTCACTTCATTTACATCCTGTGGTACTTTTCATAAGAAAAAACCTCATTGGAGAGCTTTTCTGTATAGGAGACCTTGGTGCCATTTCTCCAAGGAGTGCCAGAGCGCTATCTTCTTTAGGAGCATTACCTATGTAAAGTAGCAGGGACTTGGTACAGGCGGTAGGGCAGAAAAGAAAAAGATCTTACATTTTTGAAGGTCTGCTGAGTGCCAGGCACCTTTCTGTAAGCGATCTCTTATTCATGGAGGTATGTGATATTGTTCCTACTTTACTGACAAGAGAACTGAGTCTCTGAGTTTAAAGGATATGTATTAGGTCACATATTTAAATTAACTCTAAGATCTTTAAATTGAACTCTAAAGTGTATCTCTGTACTCTGTGTACAGGCTGGAGACAGAAGTTAAATGGTTGATAGCATCACGTGGGTCCAATCATTTGTAAGTGGTGGCAGCTGAGAAAAATCATTTTTTTTTGCTTGTTTGCTACCAGTAGTAGTGAACAAGAAGGTGATTTCCTGGCATGTTTATTACAGCAGTTCTCAACTCTTTTTTTTTTAAAGATGTGTTTTCATAATTTATTTATTTTTGTTAAATCTCACCCTAGGATATTTTTCTATCGATTTTCAGAGAGAGTGGAAGGGAGGGAGAGAGACAGAGACAGAGAAATATTGATTTGAGAGAGACACATCGATTGGCACCTCGACCTGGGACCAGTTCTCAACTTTGAGTGTGTATCAGGATCTCACCCTGGAGGGCTTAAAAACAGAGTTCAGGTTCCCTCTCTAAGAGTTTCTGATTCAGTAGGTCTGGGTTTGAGCTGACATTATGCATTTCTAAAAAGAAATCACTGATGAGACTCGTGGGTATAATAACTTAATAGAACAGTTAAATTAGGTGTCTTCTATGTACTAGACACTAAGTTTGGTAATGGACCTCAAAAAGAATCTCTGCCTTGGGTTAGCAGACTGTTGGCTCCTGTTTTCCCACATAAGATCTTTGTCTGGTACAGGTAGTAGGAAAGAAAGGAAAAAGATCTTAAGTTCATTGAAGGTAGGCTGGGTTCAGTAACATCAAAGTCCTGGAGGCATGCAGAGCTGCATGATTCCACTAGTATGCCTGAGGCTTTGGAGAAAAAAGAAATAAAGGAGAATGGGTTTGAGAAGAGTGAATGTGAAATAGAGTTGCATACTAGTAGGATGGAGTGTCACCAATAAATAAATAGGTTAGTTGGCCTAGTTTTTTCTGATTTAAAAACATTCAACTCCCCCCAACCCCCGTTCATTGTAACTGTGGATGAAAAGGGCCACATACTAAACCTGACAAGCTCAGGTAAGGCCTGCGTGGCAGCCTTACAAATGCAAGAGACCTAAAGTAACCACAAAGGATCTGAAATTAAAACTTTTTAACTAAAAGCAGATTATTGCAGGTTGTCATGTCCTAAGGCAGTATTTTTCCCTAACAAAAGTCCATCTGTACCTTAATTGAGCCTGTCTGTTATTTATTTTATTTTTTGCATATACAATAACATGTAGAATGTTAAAGTAATTTTCTTTTTCCAGACCCTTCAGAGGCTTAGCTCTGGGAAGACCACAGACTCTCCTCATTGTTATTGTAATGTTAATTGTTGACTATTAACTAACATGTATTCACCTGTGTAAAAGAAGTGAGAAAGAGAAACATCAGTGATGAAAGAGAATCATTGATCAGCTGCCTCCTGCACGTCCCCTACCAGTCCACAACCCAGGCATGTGCCCTGACCAGGAATCGAACCATGACCTCCTGGTTCCTGGGGTCCATGCTCACTCACTGAGCAACACCGGCAGGGCTGTCATTTTACTTTCTATCCAATCCCTAATCTGTCACCAGTGAATTTCATATAATCCATTTAGGTCTTCTTCTCTTTTGATTGTAATTTATAAAATAAGGTTCATAACTACAATTCTCTGGAGCATCTTCTCAATCTGTTAAGATTTTGCTTCCTGGCAATTGTCGACAATTGAGTTGTCAAATAAACTCACAAAAGTTGTCTATAGGTTTGAATGTTCCATGAGTTGACATGGATCAGAGAAAGAAAATATGTAATATTTTTATGAATTGAAAGTTTTAGCATACCGTTTCAAAAAGACCTTTGAAAGAGGGTAGTCTAAAAAACTAGATTAGGAATAGAATTTTTGTGGCAGAGAGAAAACTTTAGTAGAATATACTTTAGTATTCTCATGTTACAGATAAGGAAGCTATTTTAATTCTTTGCTAATGGTTTGTTCTGTTTGGTGCCTTCAGTAGGAACACAGCCTGGAAATCAAACCTTCTTTCTTCCTAAACATGCTACCTGGACCCAGTATCTAGACCCAGTTTTCCTTTTATTTCCTTCCCTTGCTTTTTCCTTTTTCTTTCCCCTGTCCTTTCCTCTTTCTTTTCTTTTCTTTTTTTTTTTAAAGCTTCATCTGAGGATATGTTTTATTGATTTTAGAGGAAGGGAAAGGGAAACATCCATGTGTAAGAGAAACCTAGATCAGGTGCCCCCTGCCCTCCCACAACTGACCTAACTAAACCATGTATTTGGCCATAGGGAAAAGAATAGTTTAAAATGAATAAGTATAAAAGATGGTGACTTTTATATGAACATATCTACTAAAAGTATATTTTGTCTTCTCTAGGATTTTCTTGACATTATTTAATATGGGAAGAATAAATGTAATAGGGGAAATGAATGACTTTCAATAATTTATATAAACTAAGTATTCTAGCAGATGGCCAGGTAACTTCTAGAATTAATTTAAATTCTTTTAATGAGTTAGGCTGTAGTTAGCAGTAGTGCCAAAGTTCCAATTTATTTGACAGGTTAGCATTGCTGAGTTAGTGCCTATAAATGATGTAATTTTAATTCTGTAGGTCAGGGTGAGTTGTTCTAAGATAGGATGCCTTGAAGTAATTAGGCTTTATTTCCCCATATGAAGTGAATTAATTGTGGCTAAGTTTACTTTCTGTTGCTATAGTTTTCCTTTGATTAATGTCCAGCAATTAATCTTTGTTTATATGGAACTATCATGGGAATCCAGTCATCTGCTCTTTAGAACTAACACATTT